TTTCTTGACGTATGTCTGACAAATTAGTTTTGAAAACACAAAAGTTTTCTCTTAACCATGTGTAAATGCAAAAGTACTTCTCGTAAACCAAATGACGACCTTTTCAGGATAAAACAGTGAGTCTAGATAAGAGGAAGTAGCCCATGGTTTCCGAGTTCCCTGGGCAGCAGATGAAGTTCACGAGGTTCCGGGAAGGAGCTCAAAAATGAAAATATTCAGTTTACACAGAGGATAACTCAAGGTGAAGCAGAAGGATAACAGTCAAGAGCATGCCTCGCTTGGAAAGAATTTCTCGCCAAATGGATGAAGATGCATGAATTAACTAAAAGATAAATGACATTTATTTTCTTCAAGTACTCAGTTTTAGCTTATATCTAAGTACAATGGCTGCTGTGCATTTTGAGTTTTTGCCTCCAACAAGAGCAATCTTAGATTTGTACCTACATAGAACCTTTTAATTTTATCATGCATTATCTGAATGATTTTAAATTAGTACCAAACTGAGATTTTGACTTTTGTCTAAGAGACTATTTTGAGAAAGTCTGGCATGTTTGCGGAATAATTTTAAGCAATTTCTGTACATTCTGTCAAATGCAAACTCAGTAATTTTTTTTTTTTTTTTGACATAAATGAATTGTAAACGTTTCTTGAAGTATGTCTGACAAATTAGTTTTGAAAACATAAAAGTTTTCTGTTAACCACGTGTAAATGCAAAAGTAATTTCTTGCTTTAAGAAATTACTTTTTTCATTCTTTTCGTAAAAGTTAAATTCTTGATGTGTACATGAAATGTTTAAATGCAAGCCAGCAAGTTAAAGATAAAATGAGTAAAAGTTACTGGTGCGAATGCATGCTAGAGACAGCAGAGAATAAAAGTTCTCTGTGTAAAGTTGATATGGAAATGAATTTAATGTTATTGTACCAAATTATTTGTCCTAGATGACTGAAGGAAAGAAGATGCTTACAGGAAAAAATAAATATACTGCAGAAGAATGGTCCAATGATGAATCTCTGTATTAGAAAATTTTTTAATTTTCAGAGTTTGGAATTGTTACAGGTAAAAAATTAGTTCAAGTTAGGATCTACAATTTAAAATCTTACCATGGACGTTAAATTCCAGCAGGAGAATTAATTCCGGTTTACTATTATTTTACATTAACTGGTTATTTTATGTTTCAGATATTTAATGTCAATTTTCCATTCCGTTTCCTCGCCAGAATACAAATCGGACTAGAGTATTTAAGCTCAGATTTTTAGATTCTAAGACAGAGCGTGTCTCTGCCTGTGTATGCATATGCTCTTTTTCTTCCTAGTTCTAATAACTTGAATTTCTCAGCTTTGCATTATTTGCTGCCAATATTTGAATATCTATGCCTGTTAGATTCATGAGCTAACTTAGGATTAAACTGAATTGTGTAGTCTCCGACTACTAGCTTATTTAAATTAAAGTTACATTTGACTGTTACTTAAGTGAGCTGGCCATAAAGTTTTGGCTGAGGGTGTAAGCACTAGGTGTGCATTCTGTTCTATTTTAGTTATAATAATGGGTTTTTACACACTTCTGAAGTCTCAGGTGTTACTTAGTAATAAATTGCTGTCAGTCTACCTAGAGTTTGGATCAAGTTTATGACAGCTTAGAAGACCAAATTTTATGAATGGTATATCAAAATAAAGGTGCACACACCTTTATCAGGATTGTTTTTGATAAGTTAAAAACTGATTTTCATAAGGTCAGGGCCTCTTAATGCTGGAACTAAGAATTCTATCTCTTGAACAATAACCATCATAAAAAGTGTTTAAAACCTATAGGATAGGGCATTTTTATGAGGTAGTTTCTTATCAGAGTAGATGTTGCTGTCAATGCGAAGAAGATGACAGACATTGCAACAGATGGCACAAAAGGAGTCTAGCCTTCTTGTAATGAGTGTAATGGACTCATTACAAGAAGGCTAGACTCCTTTTGTGCCATCTGTTGCAATGAGTGTAATGGACTCATTACAAGAAGGCTAGACTCCTTTTGTGCCATCTGTTGCAATGAGTGTAATGGACTCATTACAAGACACTAAAAACAAGTCGTCCTGATTGACATATAGCAAAATTTTTGGTGTACTCACAGCAGCTTTCCTATCATGTGACCCACCATTTTTCATCTTGGGTTTGTGTGGCCTTCATAATAGTTTTGAATGCTTTGTTGGAACCACCATTAGCAACAGGTTTCTATACCTCACTCTGATTTTCATGCAAGGGAATTTGGTAGTATGACTTCTGTTCAACTAGTTCAGTTTACTGTAATATTACTGATTAGATATTTGGGACATTATGATTTACCAATACAACTCTATTACAGAAGCAGTCTCAAACTCCACAGCAACCGAGCAGTTAAAAAAGGGGGTATAGTTCTATATCCCCTGTTCTATTCAGTTACTTGATGAAATTAAACTTGCTTTTTTCATATCTCAAAAGCATGATTTAAGGCATAAATTAGATTTACATATAATGTTGTTCTAAGATATGTATTTTGACATAAAACTGAGCTTTTCTAAAGAGACATCTTGATTTATTTCCATATTTCATTTCTGTGCTGTGCCTTAATTTCAAATTATGTCTACATATCAAATTTCATAAATTTTAAGGAAAAATTAAAGAATTTAGCTTGGTCCACTTTTTTTTAAATTTGTGCCAAGAATAGTTCACTTGGTGAATTTCTCTTCATTTTCTCTTTCAGTCTGCATGACAGGAAAATGAATAATTGTTTCTTCTTTCTTGCATGTATCTTTACTTTATATTTTTGGTACTTACGTATTATTGCAACCAGGTTGGCGCTATTTGTAAGTTTGAGTAAAAAAGTATGAATAAAAAGAAAATGTACATTTATTAATTACAGATAATTTTTAATACAGTTTTTTATATTATTTTGTTTTAAAATATAAAATAGCAATTAAACCCTTCCGGTTTTGAATATGAATAAGTTGCAGAATTATTTTTTCGGCGGAAATGTTTTGGCTATTGCTTTCAGCACTGATTGAAAACCGTATTCGCCATAACCATGTACACGTCGACTTATTTTTACTTAAAAAAACTTCCCAGAATTGCACAAAAATGGCAATGCGCACACTCTTGACTTTATCCACGTACACTGCTATTTTCTCATAAATTACAAAAATTTGCACGAAAATGCAGAAAATTTTGTGAATCTCCACATGCTCTTTTAACAAAACTACGTATAACACGTAGGGTTGCCGTAAGTAGGGTCGCCAAATTTGGCAATTTATGCAAATTTTGGCCTGATTGCGTTAATACGTAAGTACCTATATTTTTAAATAACAGTTGTCATTCTTAATATATATATATATTTTTTCATTCTTAGGTTTTAATTGTCTGAGTTGCATGAATGAATAAGATTTTTTTCAAATACTTATTCGCAAAATTTGTTTATTCATTCAAATTGAGTATTTCTGGTTAATTTTTCATATAAATGTTTTGAGAATTTTATTTTATTTAAACTACATTTCCTTTAAAAGAATACTTATTAGCAACCTAGTATATGTCATGAGGCACTTGAAAGCTGCATAAATTAGAACAGTAAAGCGCTGTTAATATGTTTCTCAATGGGCCATTTGGATAGGATATACTTTATTCTTGTATATACAAGCTGTGCCTCTAATTTTTACATCGAATTTAAAAAAAAAAAAAAAAAAAAGGTTATGGATAGCCTGTTTACCATCTACAACATTTTTCCCATTCTGGAGATGTGAAAGTAGCTAAAATGTAAACAGTGCTTAGCATCATAGAGATAAAATTTTCATCATCAGCCAAAAGGAATGTATTTCTGTGTTGAGCATCTCTTATCCACTGTCAGTATTGGTACCTCTAGAGTAGAGCAGTTGCTTGTAATACCAGTATCACAATTACTGGTACCAATATCCATAGCATGTCATCCTCACAGCCGTCTAAAGCAGAGGTTCTCAACCAGTGATACACAAGAGAAAAATAGGTGGTACGCAAAGAAGCAAAGTATAATTTAACTATTAAATCCAAAAATTAAAACTCCAACATCCTGATTCAGTTTTTTTTCTAACACTCGTAAATTTATGCAATCTGAGCTTTGTTCAAGAGTGGTGGTGGTGGTAGCAGTACTTTGTAGTGGTGGTACACGCGTTAGTCAAAAGCTTGAGAACTGCTGGTCTAGAGCATTGAATATTTTATTTTTCAAAATTAAATTTCAGACTTCAGACTTTCCCAGGCTGCCCGAATCCACTCATGTGCAACACTGCACATTGGAACACTTTGATTTTTCCCTCATGGTTCATCCAATTGTTTTAAAATCTCCAAATTAATCATTGAAGGAGGAATTAACAGTAACATCAATAGGCTGGAACATGAAAGTTAGCCCTTTAAGAACCTATTTCTAATAATCTGCATGTATTAGCCAATTTTCATCTACTTTTTGCAAAAAATTGCAGCTTATTCTCAAGAAAATATGGCATATATGAGAAAAATATACAATCAACATTTTAATTTAACAGAAGATGCATATATAGCTTTACACAGTTTTATGACTGTGTCATTGCTTTACACATCATTATATTTTATCATCTCATTTTAAATCTGTAGATTTGCACTGATTTTCTTCCCATGTATTCATTCCCATGCTTTCATTTAAAAAAAAAATCACACAATTTAAATATTTCAAAAGCTTTTGAGAAAGACTACTCAATTAACATAAAAGTATGCTATTCATTTAATACATGATGTAGAATTATTACGATTATTTTACAATATACAGCATAAAAAAGCTAACAGTCATTTATATTTTATAATATAAAGAGTAATAGTTATTGCACCCTGTCGGTGAAATATAGCAGAATGTACCACAAATGTTGTTTATAATTAGACAAACAATATAATAAATTAACTCAGAAGATAAATTTAAACTATATTAAAAAGAATCAAAATGTCTTAAGAGAAATAATGAATATTATTTTAAGAAAACAAATTTACCTCAGAAAGAGAATCTGCATCTTCAGGTCTCATCATTAAATTTTCCAACTTTAATTGTCTTAAAGTTTGTGATATACTTAACAAGCTAGATACTGCTTTACATATGGCAGAGATATTTCCTGGTGTCCGCCCATAGGGAACTGGGTAAGTTTTTGCTTTTTTTTTCTTTTCTGTTAGAAACAGAAATTACTTTATATAAAAATTAATAGAAAAATTTAATTTAAAGTAGTTAAATAACAAAATATATAGAAATATCTACAAAATAAAAGCTTTCATAACAAATATTTTTTTTCTGTGTATTTCATGAAATCTAACATTTTCTTAATAAACATTTTTAATGAAATATATTACATTTGTTTATCCATTTCCACATTTAACAAATTAATCATAAGTAATCCACATTAAATTCATCAGTGTCATTGTGTTTAAACTAAAATAAATTTTCATACTCTAATGAAACAAAAATCTTGTATGCTTAAAAAACTTTTCGATCTGATCCTTTACATCATAGATTATAAACCTTTTTTGGCCTACTGCTTTCTTCATTTAGGGTAAGGATTATGCACTGCATCCTTTTTAGAAGGGGTAAATACACTGACTCCTGTTTTTGAAATCAATAATGTAACCCAGGGTTTCTTAACCCTGGGTTACATTATCACATAGGATCCCATAGGACCATTACATTATCACATAGGACCCCATAAAACCATTACATTATTACATAGGGTTATGGGTTATTCAATTATGGCAAAGCAGACAAGGGCTATCTGCCTAAAGGGAGGGATGCCTTCATGGAGGACTTTCTAAGAGAAACTGGCTCGCATACACATTACACATGGGGAAAACCACGAAAACGACCATGCAGCCAGCTCGTTCGCGGAATTCGAACCTCGGACCGAATTACCAGTGTTCAGCATCTTTACTGCTCGGCCGCTGGTGGGCCTATCATTATTACATAGGACCCCTGCTGCAGGTCATGGCACCTGCAACAGAGGGTCGCCAAAAATTTTAGTAGTTTTTATATTTTTTTAACTTATAATAATTTTACAATTACCAAATAATTTTACACAATGTATCTGAAAATAGGTAAAGACAAGATGGTATTTACGTTACCAAAGCTGCAGATTTGGCGGTTTTTAAGTGCCGCCAATCTACACCTAAAATTTTTTCGACAAATCATATCATAAATTAAAGTACTTTATTTAAAATGAAAACACTTTATTTAAAATCAAAGTAGTCAATCGGATTTCGGTGGAAAATGGGCTATGAATGGGCTATGAGTTTGTCTATGAACTCCTGTATCAGGATCAATCAAATTGTATATATGATTAACTTTAGCATGTAAGAATCCTTCTTTTTCTATTCTATTTGTCTGGTAACCTTTTCAACTGTCAGAATAAATTGTGCTACCATCTGCAATGTTTTCAATAATTTTCTTAAGAAGGGTAGAGCCAGTTCTATTAGGAACAGTGACAACAAACGAATCTTTTGTTTCTTTACATATACCAACAAACACCCACTGTTTGGGTAATATTCAACCCCAAATATTTTTAGGCTTAGTAAACAAACTTTTACCAATTTCCACAATGCAATCTGGTCCACCTACTTTCTTGTTTGGTTTATTCTCCATATCCAAGGCATATAACGCACGCATGTAATTGTTCTAATCTATAACAGTTTTATCCGATAAATCGAATTGCTTTTCACAAAATTTAATCGACGTCAACTCCTCGCACCAATGGTATATGAATCTCAAAGCTGAACAAAATGGAATTCTGCTTCCTTCAAACCAGTTGTCTTTTCTAAGTCCCACTTGCTGATCACACTGTCTTAAATTAAAATGTACGTTTACCAAAATAAAGTTTCATATCATGCGAATTGGTACAATTTCATTTTTTTGGTAAAATATTTCGCTTGTGAGAAAATAAAATTGCATCTTCTTCTGCGTTTGGCAAATTCCGAAGATGCGTTTTCGTAGCACTAAAAAATGGCATCAAAAATCAGCAAACAACAAGGCAGAAAGGAATCCAAAAGATAACCGTGTGTGAACAACAGGATTGCTCTTTATTGGTGCACCAGCGCAAGTTCTCCTGCGGTGGAGTTAATATGTGAGTGCAGTAGTGTTAATATGTAAGTACCTATAAGACAATACAGACAAAGAAAAAATCAAAAACATTTTGACGCATTCTTTTTATAATAAAAACATTCATTTTCCTTGCTTTGTATGTGATGCTGTCATTTTGTCTGTTACTTATTTAAAATTTTCAACATTGTTCTATGTTTTCAAATTAGGAATTAAAGTTAATGACCTAAAACTGCATATAGTACAGTCAAAAGTCGTTAATAATTAATATCTTAATTCCGGACTCGTCGGCGATTTTCTTCCGGATTATATTTTTCCGATCATCATTTTTCCGAATTATAGATCATCAGTTTAAATCTCATAAGATGGCATGCAGAAATTCTAAAACTAAAAATATTAAACCGTAATTTATGAAATAAAGAACAATTATGATCTAAAGGGTATCAAAATTTTTTAAAAAAAAAGCTTAATATTTATTTGTTTACTTTATTAACATTTCTTATGTAAGTTGTTTAAGTTTGCTTCGTATTATGTGATAATACTTTTTCTTTAATTCTATATAAACAGACATAATTTCTTGTTCAGTTACAAAGTTCCGCTGCTGTTCAAGTCCCGCAATTGTTGCTGTGCCGAAATACCGACTACCTACTAACTTGTCAATCGAAATTTTTTCGTTTTCACTAACCTCTCTGTCACCTTCTTCATGTCTTTATCCAAGTTTTGCAGCAATTCCACTTTTTGTTTGATGGACATCGAAACATACTTTCGTTTTGTAGATCCTTTGGGAGCTCCAGCATCGGAAATTCTATTTGACATAATCGAAAGTTCAAGTTTACTTTTATAAAATTGCTCTTACAGTCTGCAAAAAATAATAAGACGGATCCAATTCGAAGATTAAGGAACAACGCAATCATCAACATTAACTGAAATAGGTAATTAGATAATTTTAGCTTATGCTGTCTGTTATACATAAAACGCGCACGTGAAAACGTATTCTGCGCTTGCGCACGCACATATGCACGGTCGTAAAGGTCTTACGTGGACGTGTAAACGCCTATGCACATGCGTCAACGCGGCGAATGCGCAGAAAGTTTTTAGCTTTGAAGTCTGGATTATAGATCATTCCGGATTATGGGTGTCGAATTAACGACTCTTGACTGCATATTACAGTACAAGTGAAAATATTGACAGTCACGCGTATGTTGGATTTGTGCAATTATTATAGGGTCCCACAAAATTTTGATAAATATTATGGAATCTTGGGAGTCACGAAAAAAATCTCAGTGATAAAAAGGAGTCCCAATCGAAAAAAGTTTAAGAAACCCTGATGTAACCCAGCATTTTCCAAATTTAGTTTGTCATGCCCTACATTTTCAAACAGTGGTTCAGTGGCACTCCTCTTAGGTAAAGCATACTTACTATACAGCATAAAACCTGAAAGTCCAATATCCGGATCTACGCACACTATCCTGCATCCTGAAAAAAATCCTTTCCCTTCCTCCTACAATCCCTTTTCAAGAAATCCCTTCACCATTTTTAAGCCTAGGTATGGAGAATATATTGTTCAACCCAAAAAAAAAAAAAAAAAAAAAAAAAAAAAAAAAAAAAAAGGCTACAAATATGATTTTTCTCCCGACTGATTGAGATTCCTGCATTCACTGACAAACACTTGCTGATCAGCGAATTGCAGTGCGGCTAGTACGATGCAATAACTTACCTTGAATTCATATTAGCCACAACCACATTTTTTGTTCTTGAGAAGCTGCAGAGTGTTAGCATTTTTCTATCTGACTAAACAATAAGTGAAGCCTCCCCCCATAGGCAGTTGTTCCTCTCCACAGGCAGACAGCCCTTGATTTGCTTCACCTTAATCAGTTAAACTTACAGCAAACAATTTTTATATGAATGAAATTTTTTACATCTAATTTGACAAATAGAAATGATAACATATTTTTAATCACTTGCACATTAAATAAACTATATGCATATTTTTCTTTCTGATTTTATTTCAGAGTTAACAATATTTCATTACTTCACTGGTCTAATAAATTTAATATTTGGATTTAATTAATTGTATTCATTAATTTGTTAAATTATTTAATCAATTTCAATTTGCTGTTGTTCTTTTTAGTTAAACATTTACTTTAACCTTTACAGCACTTACTTTTGCATTGTTATTTAACTGAATTTATTTAATAACTTAAATGGGTAAAAAGAAAATTTGAATGAAGAATTAAAAGAACAAATCTAGATATTAACAAAAATACTGATCTAAAACATAAAGACGTTACAAAAAATTAACGGTTTCACTCTATATTGTGTTACAAAAAAGACAGCAAAAAATAAAAATTCCTCACTGAAACATTTAGGCAAATGTGGCCATAAAAAAATATCCTCTCAAAAAGAAGATAGAAAGTTTATAAGAACGAGTCTGTAAAATCTTAGATATGATCCACACAATTAAAATGAATGTAGGAAGATCATGCTGTGCCAACCAGCATGAGTGCTGCAAGAAGGCACTAAGCTGGACTGAAAGCACGTAGACAACATAGAAAATCTAAGCTGGCAATTTATCTGATCAAGAAATGATTTTCTTGGGCCCAAACATACAACTCAGGGTTGGAGCAAAGTAATTTTATTCAAAATTTTATTATTTTTTATACTCAAGTTAATTTTAGTCATTTTTAATCTCTTAAAGCCTCTTATTCTATTGTTTCCTAACTGACAAATATGTTTCACATTATTCTCAATATATATTTGCCAATGGATTCTCCCCCCCCCCCGAGGAAATTTCAATCTCACATTATTCCTCAATATATATTTGCCAATGGATTCTCCCCCCCCCCCCGAGGAAATTTCAATCTAAATACTTAATCCTAGGGATGCTTTTTAAATTTCAAGCGATAAAATAATTTGTTGCTCTGCTGTTGGATGACCAGAAACAAGTATGCATCAAAAAATAAAAACTAAAGTTTCCATAATGGTTATTTTTGTATTGAAAACATCTGTCTATAGTTTAATACTGGAGATAAGATAATACTGTGTATAATGATAGTTCTGTTACTTAAATATTATTTCTTAACTTTTTGAAGGATAATATGCATAAAATAATATCTTATAGCATGGTAAAATTATTATTATTTAAAATGAAAATTTGAGTGATTTTATTTATGTAATTTTAGTTTATTTAAAATTAGTTTTGTGTTAAATTAATTAGAATTAAAATTTTTATAGGCAAGTACACTAAAATAATCTTTAGATTATATGTTAATCACTAATTGATGTTCATCATAAAATATTAATGAAACATGTTTTGAGGCTAAAACATAGTCACTTTTAATTTCTTTATTATTATTTCTTATGCTAGTGGAGGGGGAAACAGACCTCTTTTTCCATCTTTAACATTATAAAAGAAAAATTAAAGAAAATTGGTTGAAATTTCACTTTGTGCTTTAGCACAAAAAGATTTTGTTAACCAATATGATAACAGACATGTGATATTTAAAATTATACAGAAATCATAAAAATAAATTTCATAAACTTTATATTTAAAGGGGAAAACAAATCACATGCATGCATACAATATACATGGATATACACTTTTTAATACTAAAAATAATACCATGTAATATCAATACCATATTTAATGTAATAGCAAACCAAGTTTTCATCCTTAAATTAACCTGCTGGTTTTAAAAATTAAAAAAACAGAATTACACAGATGATTCTGCATAATTCTGTTGAGAAACCTAATCCGCAGTCTAATTACAGAATTTTATTGCTGCCAAAAAGCTATACTTTTGATACAAATAGGTAATGTACAAGTAGCAGAATTAGACAGTCTACATGGTATGCAGGATCAGCTAGCATAACATGTCCGTCACTGAATTTTCCAAGAAATTTTTTGGTTACACTTTTTTTTTTAAATCAAAAATATGTTTAATCAAAATGCAACAGCTGCAAAGATACTTCAACCTTTTCCTTTGTGATGCATTATTAATTAATTATTAACCAGAGAATTAATAATAATAACCTTTTCCTGAAAACAATATATGCACATTTTGCAAACATGTTATTCATGAAGTTTTAATACTTTTTGTATCAACTATAAACTACAGTAGCTAAAACTGAATACAGCATTTTCTTCAGCTACATTACTGAAATTAACAAGAGTATGTAAATTTATGCCCTGCATTTACAAGATAATTTTTTTATTGGGTAATTACCAGTCAGCTACTTCATAGAGCTTGCTATTTTGTTTTTCATAATCCTGTAACATAAAATATGGTTTCTACCGAAATTTAATTTTTAATTTTCCCAACTTTCCATAAGCAAACATAATGAACTAGTCATCAATTTAAGTACATAAGTAATTGAATAAATTTATAAACATGTAATAAAATTTGTTAAAATTTAATGCATCTAGCTTGCCACTGTGAAGCAAATGAAAAAACAATGAACATGAAAACATGAACAACAGAAACATGCATCTAAACCATTAAACAAAATTCTGAAAAATTTTCTCATCTCAAAGACTTTCATTACAC